GGTTGTGCCATGGTCTGCCTGAGTGTTCGTGGCAACCGGGTCTGGGGGTTTAAGATTTTGGCATCTGCCTGATAGATCCCGGTGGCTGTCTGGTGGGGTCTGGGTCCCTGGGCTCTGCTGGGTCCCCGGCGGGGGTGGTCGCCCTGGGTCCCGGGCTCGGCGGCTAGGGGGTGGGAGGCTGCGGGCGGGCCTGTGGGCTTGCCGCTGATATCTCCCGGGACTCTGCCGGCTGCTGGTTGTGGCCCCCCGGGGCGATCCTCTGTGCCTCTCGAGGGGGGCGGGGGCCTTTCTGGTTGCAGTCTCCTTGGGGTTCCTGTGTTCTGGGGCAGCGCCTGGATCTCTGGGACTTGGAGCTCCCCCCGTCTCCTGCGCATCTTTGGGGGGCGGATCTGTGGTCCCTCACACTCTCTGTTGGACGCTCCTATAGAAAAACCTTACATAAACAAGCGTGTGTACACACACAGGTGCTCACATGGTGCTCTCAAAAGTATGGGTTTGGGCACGTTAAACACAGGTCTTAAGACTAGGGTGGGCACTTAATGCACTGTGATTTATTATCGTGATTCTTCAGTTAAGCAATGTTGATTATTTTTTTTTTATCAAGTTGACGCAGTGATAGCTAGATCTTGTTGTATTGTTGTTGTGTCCCTTTTTTTTCTTTAGCTTTTTTTTTTGTCTTTTTCTGCAGGTCTAGAAGCAGACTCTTGTTCATTGTTTATTTTTGTGGACCCCCCCCCCCCCCTCTCTCTCTCTTTCCACCTTTTTTCTTTTCCTTTCTCTTTCACCTCTGTCTCCGTGTCTGGTCGGAATTACAATGCATTCAACAACAGTAACAATAAAGTTTTAAGTATCAGGCGTGACATTAAAAGCAAACGCTTTGATGCTCCACCTGAGAGTAAATCTGTAAGGCTTGTCACCAGCATTCAGACATCAATTCTGCTTGCTTCACAGCCAGACAGGACACGGTAAAAAAAACAAAAACAAAAAACATAACATCAAAGTTTGTTGCGAAGCCGGTACTAAAAAAAATAAAAACACGTAACCGGAGCCTTAAGGCGCACCACCCGGACTGTTTAGTGAGTGGCACTACCTCTTTGACCTCTTTCTCCATCCTGGAGACTGTCTCCAAACTACCGAAGAGCTCAAAGAAGGCGAGGAGCATTACAAAAGCAATAGCTACTTTTATCGCGACGGATCTACGCCCGTATTCAGTAGTAAACAACAGGGGGTTTCGGTTTGTGGTGCGCACCATGGAGTCGCGCTATAAACTTCCTCACCAAAAACATTTAGCAGAAAAAGAAGTCCCCCACCTCTACGAGGAAACCAAAGCAAGCGTTCTGGAGTCCATGAAGAAGGCAACCGATATAGCGCTCACATGCGATGCGTGGACATCGGTTGCCACCAAATCCTTCGTTACTGTAACGGCGCATTTTGTTCTTGCGTCGGACAAGAACGGGTGGAAGTTGGTGAGTCACGTTCGTCAAACTCGAGAGATGAGTGAGAGTCAAAGTAGCACAATGTTGACATTTGCCCATCTCACACAACAGGAGGATGTAGGGGGACAAGAGTGAGGGGAGGGGGTATGGGAGGACAGATGAGTATGAGTGTCACTCTGCTCTATTTTGTTGTGTTCACCTCACTGTACTGAAGCTCCAAGCTGAATATATGTTCAGTTGAATTATGCACTCTTGTTCTGAAAAAAATACAACAGGATCTTTGAATATTTTAACCAGAAGATCAGAACTTTTTATTGCAGGGATTACTTGACACTTCGTATTAACTCCGAGGAAAGAGTCAGGTTTAAAATAGTTAAGAAATTTATTTCTACACTATTTAAACAATACTAACTTTAACACTCTGTGTACTGGTGGACTAAAGCCGGGCGTACACAGTGCGACTTTTTTCACTTTTTTGAGCCGATTTTCCACTTGTGTGAGAATCCACAAGATCGGGGCGAGTTTTGCGCCGAGTGTCGTGTAGTGTACAGGGTGTTACGAGAGGCGATTAACACCACGTGACCAGCTACCAATCAGCAATCTTGAGTTCGCACGGACTTCTGGGGTGTTTGATATTTTGCTCGTCCCTCGTGAGGGTATCGCACTGTTGTGAAGTGGCGCTGCGAACAGCTGCGACCCAAAAAGTACCAGAACCGCTCACGGCGCATGCGCAATCCTGCATCAACACCGCTCGCCTACTATTTCCCTAATTACACACATTGTTCGTTTTTATTTCTACACGTTTTTTTACTCACAAAGATTGTCAAGAAAGCGTGTTTGTCGTGTTCATGTCAAATTAAACTGATCACATTGATTTTATATTTCATCATCAGGTTGACACAGTGATAGCTTGCTCCTGATGTATTGTTGTGTGTCCCATTTTTTTCTGCTCTTTCTCTTTCTGCAGGTCTAGAAGCAGACTCTTGTTCATTATTGTTTATTTTTGTGGAACCCCCCCCCCCCCCCCCTTCACCCCCTCTCTTCCCACCTTTTTTCTTTTCCTTTCTCTTTCACCTCTGTCTCTGTGTCTGGTCGGAATTACAAAACATTCAACAACAATAACAATAAAGTTTTAAGTATCAGGCGTGACATTAAAAGCAGACGCTTTGATGCTCCACCCGAGAGTAAATCTGTAAGGCTTGTTACCAGCATTCAGACATCAATTCTGTTTGCTTCACAGCCAGACAGGACATGGTAAAAAAAAAAAAAAAAAAAAAAATTAAACTGATCACAAAACACAGATTTACTTTCTTTATTTCGTTTTCCTCATCCAACCTCCATAAATCCCTGTGTGCCCTCCTGCAGCACTCCTGAAGGACAACAGGCAAGGCAAAAAAAGTCTGACATGTTGTGTAAAAACTGCTATTTTTAGCATATTTTTAGGTCCGACGTGTTGCTACCAGACGTACAGTGTGAGCAGTCAGGTCGCATTCGAGAACTGGGTCGTACAGTGTGAGCACATGACTCTTGAGATCTGCCCGGCGAGGAAGTCATACAGTTTGAGCTGAAGCTGAGTGCTACGAGTGAAAAAGTCGCACAGTGTCCGCCCAGCTTAAGGTGGAGTGAGACGTGAGATGAATGATGGTGTGTGTGTGGAATGTTATTATCAGAACCAGCGGATCCAGAGAAGCATTTGGTTCTGAGTGGGAGTGGATGTTTCGCTCTAAACTTTAGTTGGAGATTTATAACACACATGAAACGCCATCTGTCGGTCTACGTACCCCAGGGGAAGCCTCCGTTTAGATCCAGAATGTCGAGGTCCTCTTGGACCCTCCTTGGAACCGAAGCCGGTAGAAAAGCAGCGGTGCCGACCAAACTAGTCTTGGAATGCTTCCAGGTCACGACAGGTTCATTGGCATCAGCGAGACCCTGAAGGGGTCATGAGGTTCAGCTTTTATTCTGAAGGAACCGTTGCGGTTAGGTGTAAAGCTTGGTTTATGCTTGACGCATTCACTTTCCGCGCGGTGATGCGGCTCGCGGATGGAACGCGCTTCACAACTCGCAGTGTTTATGGTTCGTGCGGCTCGTCTCTGCGGTGAGCCAATATTCTCCCAAACTGAACGGGGCAGCATGGAGCTCTACAGTATGCATCGAACACTACACCATAGTAGAAGTAGAAATTACTGTTTACAACATGGCATTTCAGCATTTTTAACAGCGTCCTCGTCTTTTCCGACAGTGCGAGCTATTTCTCTCCAAGAATTATTAACTACATGTTGATCACGGTGATCTCTGAGAGCTGAATAATACAAATGTCTGTATTTACGAACCTCTGCCATACTAGTTCTTGCCGGTCCGCCATGTTTTTCCGCGTCCGTCCATCCATGTGGTTAGAAATTTTCCGAGGTGCGCGTTGCGGAAATCTTGGGCCGTGTGGAGATGCGGTGGAAGGGCGTGGTTGTTAAAATGACGCAATTTTCCGCGCGGAGCCGTGCGGACCTCGCGGACGCGTCAAGCATAAACCAACCTTAACTTGCAACAGATTTTATCCAGCTTGTCGAGGTTCTCTTGGCTGAAGAGGAAGTCCGGATGGCCTGTCCGAGACTTCTCTAGAACGCTTTAAACTAAAGAAAAGGTGGCGTGGAATAGTTTTTATAATTGTCATATTTTGGTTTACTGGCGAATCAGAATTTGACATGCAAAAGAGGGTTTATTCAAACACCACAGAAAACCACGCCTCGCGTCGGAAACCAAGGTTCTGATTGGATCAGACAAAAGGAAATGTGTCGTGTGGCTTTAGCATTACGTGTCATTAGTGTCTAGTGCAAATGTCCAGGATTATAATTACTTGTAAAATACTACTGATCACAGGATTATAATATCAAGTAATAACATTGTCATTTCACAGATTGATTGAACATTGGGCTCACATTATTATTGGTAATAATAAAGTTGTTTGATTATGTGTTTAGTGTTTATGTAGAGAGTTCTTCGTCTTCGTCTTGATCTGTAAACGGTGAAGCAGTTCAGATGAGCAGAGTGCATGAAAGACCTTGGCCAATATCTCATGTAGATTAGGCCTGTATCAGAGACTTTATGTCTCTGCTCGAGCAGACGCAGCAGGTCATGACCTTTAGGTCAACAACAGGACATTCATGACACTACAAAGGTGGTGATAATAAAGATGATGATAATAATGATGAAGGTGATGATGTGATGGTGATGAAGGGGATGAAAATGATAAAGATGATGATGATAATAATGATGAAGGTGATGGTGATAAAGGTGGTGATGATAAAGATGATGATGATGATGATGATGATAATGATAAAGATGATAATAATGACAAAGATCACCTCGGAGCCGTGGGCCTGACTCACAGGCTGCGGATGCTAATGCTAATTTCTGCTGGTCAATAGGCGAGGCCTTAACGCTGCTGCTGCTGCATACAGAGTGGGTCTGGCTGGTCTCCAGGTCATCATGAGTTCCAGATGCTGAAACCACTTTTATTTCACACACGTCTGGTTCTCAGGATGGTGTTCAACTCTTCTGTTGCTCTTGCAGGAGTTTGTGGCTGCTGTGGGCCGCTGAGACCCCGGTACAAACGACTGGTGGACAACATCTTCCCAGAAGACCCCAAAGTGAGTTTGTGAACCACAGAGTTGATAAAAATATTAAAAATAAACTCAAAACTCAGAATATCCATCAAGTCAAAACATTTTAATTAAATCTCCTCAGCTGTACTTTCTAAATTTACAGTTTAAATTAATAAACACGTTAACCTGAGCAGGTTAATATTTAGCTGAAGGGCATCTTCACTGGTCATCTTGGTTTTTATTCATATTCCATGATTACATTTCCATAATAATGGAAGCAATGCCAGTGATGATGATTGTTTATTATAACCCAGAACCAGGCTGAGTCCTTCAGACGCTGATAAATCTGGTTATTAAACCTGACAAAGCCTCAAAACTTAATACAGCTTTTTTTGTTCCTTGGCCGATGATTTCTAATCATTTATGTGTGTTTGTTTAGTCTGTTCACACACAGAGGTCAGTTTACTTGTTCATCAGAAACACTCTAGAGTGGGCTTACGAGATAATTGTTCCTTTTCTCCCAGGATGGCCTCAGCAAGTCCGACATGGAGAAGCTGACCTTCTACGCCGTCTCTGCTCCGGAGAAGCTGGACCGCATCGGGGAGTACCTAGCTGAGAAGCTGAGCAGGGACGTGGTCCGACACCGCTACGGGTCGGTGCTTCTGGGGTTTAAACCTAAAATAACTCTGCAACAGTTAGAGTTTTAACATATAATTCATCTTTTTAAACTTACCTGAGTTGAATAAGTTAACGAGGTGTTGATCACTAACAGTTCTGCTGTAGTCATAGCAACTAGCTCCATTAGTATTTCATCAGTATACACATCTATAATAGGGATGCACCGATATAAAGTTTAGGTCAGCATCTTATATTAATGCCACTAGGGCCTATATTTACTGATATGTATTAGATCAGGGCTGGGCCATGCTGGTCCTCAAGGGCTGCTATCCAACATGTTTTAATTGTTTCCCTGCTTTAACAGCATGTGATTAAAAGGCATCTACATAGCATGATGTGCTGCTGAACAGGTGATTCAATCATTGAATTAAGGGTATTGGAATAGGGAAACAACTAAAACATGCTTCCCTTGGAATAGCAGTAGCTCAGGAGGTTGAGCGGGTTGTCCAGTAATCGGAAGTTTGCAGGTTCGGTCTCGTCTCCGTACAGAGAATGCTGCTGTTATGTTCTTGGGCAAGACACTTAACCCAGCTTGGCTGCTGGTGGTGGTGGTACCTGCCTTGCCTCTGTCAGTGCATCTCAGGGCAGCTGTGGCTACATCATAGCTCATCCCAGCCGCTGTGTGAATGGGTGAATGACTGATAGTGTTGTGAAGCACCTTGGGGGGTTTTAGAACTAGGCGCTTTATAAACACAGGCCATTTACCCTCGTGGATCGGGGTTGCCCACTCTGCGTAGATCTATGATCCTACACTTTCAACACTGTGTAAAAGCATCAGCGCCACCCTGACTGGTGCTCCTCCACAATCTCACATTCCAAATCCTTTTGGTGTTTACAATCTTTCTTTCTTTAATTAACAAAATAGGAACAATGGCAAATTATACACAAGATTATAACGTTTTAGATTCTTGTGTTCCCACCTACAAACTGAGGAAAATAAACTCGTTAGCCAGAGACGTCACTGCAGGAGTAGGCTGACTATGCCCCCTGCTGTCCCGGTGGACAACTGACACGCCACCAGAGATGTATGAAAGGGAAACATTGATATGTGTTGGTGTGAGAGGAAACCTACTGATAGAGAAGTGTAAACTAGGCTCTTCTCTCATAGCTTCACTTTTCTACAACACAGAATAAAATAATTTTTGTATAAACTAAATGTTTTCAGGTGGGTTAATTTCCTTATGCTTGTTTCTGTACGTTTAAACGTGGAGCCATATCTGTGTGCAGGTATGTGGTGATAGCCATGGAAGCCCTGGACCAGCTGCTGATGGCGTGCCACTCTCAGAGCATCAAACCCTTCGTGGAGAGTTTCCTGCGAATGGTGGCTAAACTGCTGGAGTCCAGAGAACCGGACCTGCAGGTTCTCGGAACAAACTCGGTGAGATGCAGTCAGATGTTTTTCCCTAGCCTCGTCCTCTGTTCAACACAGAGAACTAGTCTGGTTACCCACAGGCAGAGAGGCACATGAGGAGCGGGACTAGCCAGCTCAAAAATAACCAATCAGAAAAAAGGCGGAAACGCTGACTGTACCGAGCGACGCTGTAGTGAAAAATGGCATCTGGCGATGGCGCAAACATCTTTCTTTAGAAGAAAGGCTTTTAGTGTTTCTATTTGTTGTGGTTTTAAAGTAATTCAGAACGGAGGAAAGATCCGCAGCGAACTCCGCTTCAGTTGTCAGCTTTGTTGTTTATGAGAAACTGAGCTTTGTGGTGTGTGACGTACGCCGCTCACAGCTGATTGGCTCGGTTAGAATTCTCTGGGGGTGGGGTTATGTGAATGGGAGAGTTCCCTTAAGGAAGCATGGGGATGGCTGGTCAGGCTAGTTTTTCCCCTCATCACCATTTCATTTCTGTAATTTTTCTTTGGGAACATTTTAAATTTTTCATTGACCTCCTGCAGAGCTCTGACCTGATTCACCCCGAACCACTGGCTTGTTTTACTGCTCTTTAGGTTTATTTAGAGGGAAACAACCTGCTGAGGGATACGTTTCTCTATAAAAGCCTTCAAAGACCTTATTAAAGTAGGAATAAGCACCACGATGCAGATTTATTAGAACCATTTGGGTTTCTCCAGGCGTGGGAGACAGAAAATACTTGGAAGAAAAATGAAAATCTAAGTAATTCCCTCAGAAAATGGTGACCTGCACCTCTGTTCTGAATGTTTTTGCTTTTAAATTCAAGTTTATGAATGTATTTTAGCAGCAAACCTGGTATTTCAAGTTAATTCTGTAGGACCATAAAGCCCCTCTCACTGTTAAGTGTCCCTGCTTCCAGATACTTCTAATGCTCGCCTCTGTCTGGTGAATATATTGCACCAAATATTAGCTCCTAATATGCAGAGCAGGCTTTAAACCCAAGTTTATTACCTTATTTCCAGAAAATAGACCAAATCTGTTGGCTGCAGCTTGACGGCTGCTGTTGCTGCTCATTTAGCTCTGATTCTGGCAAAGAAAGGAGCTTGTAAAAGTAAAATGATCCATTTGCAAGCTGCCACACATCTACACCCCATTTCTTCCTTTTTAAGAATTCTGAAGGTGAAATAAAAGTTATCTTTTTTCCGTCGTCTGCGTGCCTCCTCCTATCGGGGCCTGTCTTCCTTGCCTTTGTTAGTGGTTCATCTGAGCAGGATACTGAGCTGCAGGTTCAGATGCTGAAGCCTTTTGCATTATTTATATGTGGTATTTAGACTCTGACAGCGGAGAACAGACGCAGAGACGGCGAGCCGAGCCGGGAGGTTGGAGGGTGGGGGGGATTTCAGCTGAGGTGCAGACAGCCTGGAGGTTAGAGCCGTGTTAATTAAATTTCCCTCATGGCGCTCGCTGCAAAGCTGACTATCGCCATTTAATGTCGGTGTTTGTTTTTGTGTCTCAGTCGAGAAAAACAAAACGCTTCTGTTTGTTCTATTGACTGAGGATCAGTTTAATGAGTTTGTTTCAGATTTGTGCAGAATAGCATCAACACAGAGCTGCACGAATTACAGCGAATTGGTTAGACGTCACTGGGCTGCTCTCAGAGCAGACTTGGAATCGTTTAATTACATAAAATCATCAGATTTGGTTTTTAATTCTTTTCTGTTGCAAAATAAAGAAAAATAGAATAAAAACCTTACAGCTCTTTCTGGGAATAAACCGATTTCCATAATGCATAAAACACAATGTTTTATAGTAAAATGTATTTATAAAACACAACCTAAAAATGACCAAACAACACTTCCTGTAAACCTGAAACAACAGCTAAACAGATTTAATAACTGTTTACTTAAACAACAATGCAGAACAGAGTTCAAATTCAGTTTCTGGTCATCAAATCACACTCGGCCACTAGGGCTGGGCAAAACGATTATTTTTGTAATCGATTAATCTAGCGATTATTTTTTCGATGCATCGATTAATGTAACGATTAATTTGTTAATTTGATTAGATTAAATTATTGATTATTTCCCAATTATTTACTTGTATAGAAGTTTGATTATTACTAATTTATGTATCTCAGTGAAATAAATGCAAATTTCTTAATTTGAACACATTTTAATTAAAAATTTCAAAAATAAAGTTGTTGTAATAGTAGTACAATCTTACGTTAGAGATAACATTTAACAAAAAATCATATGTTGTGCAAACTATTCATATAAATCAAGGAGAATTTATAACAAAAAAATATATATAAATAGCAGCAATGGCGTCTTTTAACAAACAAAATCTAACATAAGTAACCTAAGTAGGACTCTGTGACTAGACTTGTCCAAGCATCAGTGGTAAAGGAGATTTTGGATGAGGCCTTTTTTAGTTCGTTCCTTAGTTTCTCAACTGAAGTTTGATGCTTTCTCTCCATCATGCTTGTAAAATGGCGCCTAGAAGGCAGAGTGTAACCTGGTTGAAAAGTGGTCAGCATTTCTTTGAATCCTTCACCCTCAACCACAGCAAGTGGTTTCATGTCTTTCAGAATCATAGATAGGACGCTTTCAGTAAGTACAGCCACCTCCTGGGGGGTGCAGGGCGTTCTTTTCTGACAGTAGTCCTCCAGACTTTTCTGTTTGTTCCTGAAAACATAAATCACACAGACAACACACAGATGAATTAAAATTATTACAAAATATTTATGTAGAAAGCATAATATCAAAATAATAATTTGAAGATCTGTAATTCAGTGTTTTCTCAAAATTTTTAATCTATAAGATTTGTTTAAAAAGAGGTTTTTAACACAAAATGCTGCACATTTTTGTAGTCATTAGATGGTGCAACTTAGATCTATAAGATCAACAAGCTAACGTTCAAACAGGATGAGGCATTAAACTTGACAATCAAGAGTCCGTTGTCATTTTGCTTTTGCAAGCACTTCAACAATATTGTAATAATGTCCATGACGGCTACATTTAGCAGGTGATACATTGTCTTTGTTAACATTTTTACTGCGGACAATTAGTGCTGTCCCACATTTTCAGCTCTGGCCGATTCTCATAATCAGCACGTGTGTATTCCGACTCATTTGGCCATCATGAGCCACAAATAAAAACCAACAAAACAGATAACAGCTGCTGCTATATGTTACTGCTAAGCAGCGTGGCAGCAGTGGGTCTGCTTGTGTGTGTGAGTGAGTGCATGGCTACGTGGGAGTGTTTGGATGTTATAAAACAGCGTTAGTAAAAAAAAAAAAGTTGAAAACTTACGGTGTTTTTTCGTTTGCCGAAGCTGCTCCTGGATGCCTTCGTTTGAGGTGCTGGTGCATAGCCGTCGTGCTTTTATGATAGGCCATTTCCACTTTACACAGCCAGCAAATGACTGAATTGCTTCCTTTTCCGTTAAAATAGTCCCATACCTTTGAACTGCGAGTTCGGGTTGAGTGATTTAAGTCGACTGCCCCGCTCATGTTGCCACTACTCGCCGCTGCCATGTTTGTTTTTGAACGTGATGACGCATTTGCGTCGACGTATTTTACGTGTCGACGTAATCGATTACGTCGACGCGTCGTCCCGGCCCTATCGGCCACAAATAAAACGTTTCTAAGAGCTCCTCCAAAACAAAAAGAAAGACATTAAAGGGACTTTACGGAGTTTTTAATTTTTATGCTCGTGATTGCCCCCTCAGGCCAAAAGCGTAATGGCAGCTTCAATAGTAGGCTCGTGCACGAGGCGCGCATGCTGTACGTGCACACTCCTTAACGAAAATAACAGCTAAGACAGTTCCGTGTGTGTGGCCCGGAGGACAGAGGACAGGAGAACGTGCAGCTAATTAATTAAATAATTTGGTTCTGTACCTTTCTCTTCAGCACAACTGGCAAAGGTTTAAGATGGGTCAGTCCATCAGCTTCACAGATCATTCCCTTCCCTTGCTTGAAAAATTGTTCCAAAATGAAAGTTGAACTCACATCTTTTTTATCTGTAAATTCAAAGCCATTCGGCGAGTCTCAAATAAAAATGTGGGCATCTTACTGTAAAAAAATATACCATTACTATAAAAAATGAACTCTAAATAAATTATAATCACATCCAAAATCGAACCCGGATCTTCTGCACGAGAGTCCAACATCTTACTAGGTGAGCTATAGTGCCAGTAACGTCTTATCTGTAACATTTATATCCTTCATGACAGCTGAAACAACGTTCAAAGAACGGTTTGGAGCAAAAATGGCTATTTTGTTGCTAATTTGCAGGAAATATCTAGAAGAAAGTTCTACAGAAAGTAGCTAAGGGTCCTCAGAAATGTAGCTAGGTTCATCACTAGGCGTTAGGAACAGCGACAAAGTCGCTGAGTTGGTACTACCTCACTCTCTGCTGCTAAAGCTACTGATAGCAAATGCTACTGCTATGCCTGAGCGTGAACACACATGAAGCAGCCTGCTCGACCCGAGCAACTCTCTTTTTCTGTGATTTTACAGAAAAACAGGCAATCACAGTAAAAATGCCAGGGCTCATTCTACAGGACCAGGGTATTGCAGGAGAATGTATGAAGAAGAAATGTATTATTTCTATACATGTTTTGGCTGTCAAACTTCCATAATGCCCCTTTAAATGAGAGGAAATGGATTTAGTGAACACGAAAAAGGTTAGAGACGTGGAAAATTCCAGAGAATTAAGTCAAATGAATAAAACGGTTTGTCTCAAACTGTTTCCTGGAAACAGCAAAATTAAGTGTATACACGAACAAGTGAGATGGAGGAGAATTAAAGGGTTTTATTGTTAGAAACAGTAGTATCATCTGCATAGACTGTAATTTACAATCTTGGCCCTGAAACACAAAATCCACATGCCAAACTCAAACATTCAGATCAGGAGCCTCATTTATAAAGCTTGCTTACACAAAAAATGGATCTGAAAATGATGTAAGTAATTTCTTACGCAGTCTTGGTGTTTTTATAAAGAAAAATTGGATGGGAAAATGTG